CTCATATTTCTAACAGAACAATAGATCTCTCAGAACTTCAATATATCTACTCTTTTGCACAATCCTACAATACACTCAATACAGTTTCAGAATTGTGGTGTCAATACTACTTCCAACAACAAACCTACTATATAAAGTTCATAGTTGTTTTCCAATTTTAAAAACTAATAGTGTTTTATTACTTTCATTTAAAAAATCTTAGGATAAACATGACAGAGTGTTCATATTTATCAATTCTAGATGACAATTACCCAAGTGTTTTGTTATTCATTGTTTTCTTTTAAAAACTCTTTATTGAAGTATAATATGCATATGAAAAATATGCTTATAGGTGAATGGTTAAGTGAATTTTTATTAATTGACATGTGAGTGGTTAAATGGATTTTTATTAATTGACATATATTTCTCTCTGGAGGAACGTTTCTTTATGCAGATATGGAGAAACAGAATCATTGGCTTCAAGCTTGTATTCATTTTAAGACATATTCCTAAATTGTACTTCAAATTGAGTTTATTCTCCCACCAACATTGTGTGAGAATATGTATTTGCCTACAGAAACAACAAAAGTTAATATCAAATAACTATTTTTTACCAACCTAATGGATGAAATATTAGTATCTCATTGCATTTCTTTTAGTAAAGGTAATTTTAAATTCAGTTATTGGCTATTTGAATTACATCTCACATGAATGTTTATTTCCCCGTTTTCCTATTTGATTGTTAGTCTCTTTCTGTTTCCACATGTACAAAATTTTTAAAAATTGGGTTAAGTTTGGGGCTATTTTTGCACTTTGTCTGTTGGTTGTGCTGTGTTGGTTAAGTCAGTAAGGCTTTATGATTCCTTCTCCTCTCTGCAGATCCTCTGCTTCTCTGGAGATGAACTGAGTAAATCATGACCGACCTTGTGCACCACTGAGTTGTGATTAGTGACTCTGTTCAACTTCAAATACATAAATAAAGGACCTTATCACCTCATTTTTCCTGAAACAAATCAAATCAAATTTCTAAACTTCTTCCTGTAAATTATGAACAAAGGAAGGTCCTGAAATTACCAGGGAGAAAGTCTGAGAAATTGAAATTGATTATCTGATTCCCATCTTTACCAATTTAATTTGCATAAAATATCATTCATATCTCTTCTTCATTCCTTTGTTTCCTTTCTCTTTTTCGGGGGTGGGGGCTTTTATAGTTTGACTGAAGAGTTTTAGCTCTTAACTCATATTTTCTCATAAGATCTTAAATTCCTCAACCCCACCATCTCCCATGTTAGGAACTTTTGGGATCACTGCTCTGCATATTGAAGAGTGGACTACTGCATGTAGGGTGATTGCTAATCCCTAAGACTTATACCTGTGGGTCTGGAAGGTGAGAAGATGGGCATTTCTGTACTGAATCGACTCTCCTTCCCTTCCCTAAACTCATTGTCTTCATGCAGATCCTTCAGCATCTCTTTCTGCCAGTGGGTGGCATGGACTTATATGGCTGGCAGGACCTCATTGGCAAATTTTTAGAAATTTTCCAAGCTGGGTGTTAAGCACAGTCATTGTTAAAAGTTAAATTATATAAACTTACAATTATATAAGTCATATAAAATGAAGATAATAAATACTTAAAACTCATGGCTCCCTAATTATTTTACTACACTTTACTAGAATGCTCTTTATATTATTTGTACCTATTGCATCTGTTGAGAGGATGTCATTTAATGGTGTCCTACTGTGCGTCTGTTCTCAACTCTGTGTTTTCTTGGTAGCTTTTGTTTGGTTGTAGTGACAATATTTAAAGCACTGAAATCAGAAAAGCACTGCATATATGAGTTTGAGTTATTATTTTGTTGAAAATGATAAAAATGTAGATTAAACTTAAATCATGTCTATACCCTTTAAATTATAGATAGCCCCAGATAGAAGAAATACTCCTCCAGGATTTGAAAACTATCACTTGATTTAGCAAAGAAGTTACTTACATCATCGACTAACAACTAATGTTCCCATGTGTATTTTTGTTGTTTAACTTTGCTCTTATTCCCAACATAAATGAAAATCTCAATCACTATTCATGCCAGAACTGCACTTTCTCATTGGTTGCAACTCTAGGTTGGTTTTAGATATGAGAATTTGACAAAAATCAAGCATACTATTCTTTGAGAATTAATTGTGCTGTAGAAGTCTTAATAAAGAATAATATATACTTATTATCATTTTCAAATTCTGTACAGCATATACTTCATAATGAACTATGTACATTATATATATCTGTCTATAGACATATATATACAGATACCTGTGTGTGTGTATCTGTATATAGACCCATATAATCAGATACAGATAGAGATATAGATTTTTTTTAAATGGTGGCTAAACTTTCACCAACTTGCTACTGGCCCCAGTCCAGATGTAACTATTAGCATAGTTTGTTGACCACATGATGTTATGAAAAAAAAAAAAAAACACTGAATGGCATGTCAACATTTGCAAATTGCAAATTTTCACATAAAAAGCTGGAATTCTGAATTCTTTTGAAGCATCAGATCTGGTCCCACAGTGTTCCAGGGCAGCACTCAGCAGCAGCTGAGCCACTGGAGTTATACCCTCAGTTTACAGCCATCCCACCACTCCCTGCTTTCCTCCCACCCTGCTGCTGAGTGCAGAATTCCCTTTATTACCATGTCTGTGCTGTGGATTTTCCATCCCTTATTTATCCCACAACAGCAACACCCAACCTACCGTTGCAGTTAGAAATCTGGAAACCTCAGCCTTGACTTATAGCTAAATTAGATCCCACCTTCTATTGGTTTAAATCTCATTAGCTCTCAATGATTTCTCATAAGAACTAAGAAAACATATGTGAAAGGGTTTTGAAACTATTTAAAGCTACCAAATGATAGGTTTTATAGGACGTACATAATTTATAACATCACTTAGTTTTATGCATTAATAAAACTTCATTAAAATCCAATTTGTTACATTTTCCATAACTAATGACAGTAAATATATGTTTATTATTTTTCACTTATGCCTTACTTGTCTTCTTTCTCCTCCTTTTCTCCCCCTTCTTTGTCTTTTCTAATTTAATGTTACTTCTGAAGTACAATGCAGTAATGAGGTTGTTGCATTTTTTAAATTAAAATTCATACTCTGGTCTGCATTCTGGCCTAATTTAAACACTGACATTATAAACTCATGCTAATTAGCCTGAATGGCCAAATCCCCCATCAATTAAGCAAATGTAGAAATTTCAGATTACTTCAGTCACCCTATGTTAAGGTTAAAAGAAAAAAAAAATGTGATGATTGTCATCTGTAATGAAAGTGGCCCATCTCTGGGACATCATATCAAACTATTTTTTATCATTATGGAATCATGGGTGCAATAATATTTTGACATCATTGTGTTTTGAGTGTAAACATTTGAACACAGTTGTGTTCTACTGTAATGGCAAGTTGTGTCTCTGTGAGGTGAAGGGTTTTTTTCTGTAATGTTGAACCAATTTGATTTGAAAAAATATGTTACTTTCATTCCTTTTGTCAACACACCTAACACCATTTTTCTGTGTGTTCATCAGGTCACATAAAGTGTCTTGCCTTTCCAGTCTTGAATTTGCAAATGGTCTGAGTACCAAAATTTATTTTTGTTAATTATCAAAGACAAAGAAAAAAGTAAAGTTTACCAGGAACTGCACACAGCACATGCGGCTCAGTGGTGGAGCCTCTGCCGAGTGTGCATGAGGCTTTGGGGCTCAACCCCAGCATGGGATCGACACACACTAATAATATGTTGAGCACCCTTCTCCATGGGAGTAAGAAGTGATTATTAGACTCCCAGGCTAGCCCCTAATGAAGTTTAATATTTCGACTGATAATAATCTAAGTTCTGATTTCTGAAGCAAGGAGGAAAGAGGGAAGAGGAAATGAGAGGAAAAGTGGGGGGAGTAGAATAAGCAAGACAAAGCTGGGAGATTCAGAGAATGGAGGACGTGAAAGAGAAGGGCTTGAAGAACACTTTCCCTGGGATTAGGCTGCTCTAAGCAACATCTTGAGATACAATATGCAGTTATTTTATTTTTTGTGCCCTCCAATTTTCACCTCTGCATCCCCTTCTTCAGAACCCTTGCCCTCATTTGGGGTGCCAAGTTCCTGCCCTATCTATGCCTATTCTACCTTATCCCACCCTCCAAAATCATGCTCTTGAAACTCCCATTTCTCAGTGCATCTGTTCTTAGCAAGATATTGGAAAATATTAGCCTCAGAGATCCTAGACATTTTGTGGAGTTCAAAGAAACCCAAACTTCTGATATCTACCATTCTCCACTGAGGGGAATTCCAGACAATGTCACAAAACGAAGCAGGAAAAAAACTTAAAGCAGTACAGAATTCTCCTCTTATCCACAATTCCCCCGCCCGTGGTTTCAGTTACTGGCAGTCAACCATCATTTCAAAATATTAAATGGAAAATTCCAGAAAAAAACAATTCATAAGTTTTAAATTTCAAGTTGTCCTGAGTGATGTGCTAAAATCTCCCACTCCTCCTGTGTGGGGAGCTGCTGTGAATGACCACGCCTTCCAGTCCTGAAGCAGGAGGCTCTGACCAAGCACTGCATTTCGTGGTGACTTGGGCATTGTCCCAGCTCAGAGAGCAAGGCGTGGCTCCAGGTGTAGGCGTCACCTGCCAGGGTTGAGCTACGCTCACCTATTCCTTTGTAATCCTACCCCTTGCCTAATATGAATGGCTTCTTCCCAATAAAATGGTTCAGCACATGCTCCTCTCTCTCTTTCCGCAGACCCCTAAGGTCAGAGGAGCTGTCACAGGACCCAAAGAAAAAGGTATTTCTCTGTCTCTGTGTGATTATTTCGTGCAGCCCAGTTCACCTGGAGTGACCCTGAGTGTTCAAGTCCAGGGACATGATGCTCCTGCCCTAAGATGCTTCCTTTAAGTATCATTTCACATCATTACAAGAAGAACGGTGAATACAGTGTAATAGATACCTTGAGAGAGAGAAGCACTTTCACATGACTTTTATTACAGTGTATTGTTATCATTGTTCTACTTTTATTATTAGTTATTGTAGTTAATCCATAAGTGTGCATAATTTATAAATTAAACTTTATAATAGGAATGTGTATGTAGGAGAAAAGAGTATAGGTAGGGCTTAGTGCTATCTGCAGTTTCAGGCGTCCACTGGGGGGTCGGTCTTGGAATGTGTTCCCCCACAGATAAAGGGTGACTATTGTATTTTAAAAGAAGATGCCTTTCTGTGGGGGTGGGGGATGTCTTACTCTATAATGAGCCCCAATAAGCTGTTTCCGGTGTGCACTGCTTTCTTCTCTTCTGGTCTGACAAGCTCCCAGTTGCCAAGACCTAGGTTCTAACTGGCCCTTGAGACAAGTCTCCAGACTGAATCAAGTTCATTTTTTTGTTGTTGTTTCTTTTCACTTTCTTTTTCAAAATAGCTGCCAAGGCTGAGCATGGAGCAGAGCAGAGAGAGCTGGTTATTTATGTGGCTCTGCCATGAGAAGAGTTTGGGGGTTAAAAGGCACAGCTATGAGTAGGAATAGCTGTCTCATGACTTTATTCCCAGACTCCTTGTTCAAATGATCCATCATTTGTCGAAGTTCCTAGAGGTTGGACACAATGACAAAGTTAGTAAATGACTGTGACCACAGAGCTTTTGTTGCTTGACATTGGGAAGGTTTTAAAGTAAGAAAAGTCAGGAAAGTTGTTGGCAATGCTAGCAACGTTTTCGATACTATATGATTTTAAGGATGAGTCTCTGTTGAAAAGAGCCATATCTAAGAATGATATATACATACATGTCTGCCAGCCCTTGTGTAATGACACTGGCTTCTCTTTGGAGTTGCTGTCCCCACCACTATGGATGTGTAAACTCTGCTCTGGGGATGGATGCTTGGCTTCTGAGTTGATGCGAAGTCTCTCCAGCCCACAAATAGCCAAGTACTCAGTGGGGAGGGTGTTGGAACTGCACAGGGAAAGCTTCAGGTCCCGGACTAGTGTGAAGTTCAACAGGCGGCCCAGCGCAGTTGTGTCTGTGAACCAGATGGTCAGATGGCCGTGGTAGCTGGTTCTCTCTATTGCAAAAGGCAGGACAGTTTTACAGCTGCACATCAGGTTGGCCAAACTGTAATCACAGTCCCGGATGTCTGCAGAGCAGCTGCAGTTCCGGATGGTGTTTTCCTTTGTGAAAATTAGTGTGCTGTTCTTTTGACCTTGTGTGAAGCGGTCAAATGCAAAGACGCCCAGGGCACCGATCAGAAGGAGGCAGCGTCTGGAAGGTGGTGCCATTCTCGTCCAGTGTGGCCCAATGTGTTCCTGTTTTTCCTTCATGGGCCAATTCATTGGAACTCACCTGAAAGAAAATATGTAGCTTTGTTATCACAGCCTCTCATTAGAAATACTCAGCTTAAGAAAAAGGAGCCCCCTAAATTACCAGTTGAAAACTTTTCTCTCTTGTAATTCTAATAAACACAGGCAATAATGGTCTCATCTCAGAACCTCAAGAGAAGCAGCAGCCAGAAAGCTGAACTCTTTCTGAAGTCAGAAGACTCCTAGTGATGTCTGCTGACCATGAGACTAACCTGCCAAGACAGCTACGGCATCCCATCTGTGGCAGGGGAATGCGCACACCCTCCAAACATCCAGTTACTAGTGTTTAGTACTCGTTAACCCCTCAATGTACACAGGCCTTCCTCTCCCTCAGTATCTGACTTCCCGGAATTCAGGAGACAAACAGTTCCTTGGGAGCTACCCACTCACTGCTTGCTAAACAGCATAGCATGTTCAATGTCGTAAGTGAAACATTTGGTTAATGATAAACTTTTACTGCTATCTAGACAAACGTGCCTTACACCCCTGCCCTGAGCATATTACTCTGTTTATAGACCCATTCATCTTTTTTCCTGGCTCTCTACAAATGTATTTATGTATCAGAGTCAATTGTAACTAGGTTAATAGACAATGAAAAAGCTAATTACCCACCAATATTAATCACAGTATCTTTATTTATCTACTCTTATCCCCCCAAAATTTTATAAATTGACTTTTTTCAATTTATTGTGGGGTCCAAAACTAAGCAATATATAAGCACTGCTAAAGAAACTACATAGGTAATATATATTTTATTTTATTTTTGTTTAAAAAAATTTTTTTTAATTGTTGATAGATCTTTATTTTATTTATTTGTTTATATGTGGTGCTAAGGATTGAAACCAGTGCCTCACACATGCCAGGCAAGTGCGCTACCGCTGAGCCACAGCCACAGCCCCAGTAAAGAGTAACACCAATGTCAAGTTAGCGAGGAAATGCCCCACAGTGTCTGGTGTATAAGAGATGAGTGCTTCTCTCTTGTGGTATCACTGGTATAAGAGAAGCATCATGGCAGAAGGCATCTGACTTCAGTTTTGCAAAAATAAACAGATTTCTCCTGAGTTACTTTATGATTGAAGACAAGAGACCAAATAATACAGTTCAGTCCATCTGTATTCACGGCACACCATAGATAGGCTGATACTTGGAATGGGACTGAGGCTGATACTTGGAATGGGACTGTGACTAGGAGGGCCCAGAGATATCAAAAAGAGCAGCACAGGAAGGAACAGGGAACAGTCGATGCACGCATTAAGTGTCTGAAGAACATGATGACAGTGGGAAGGAGGCGAGGCAGACATGAGGGCGTAAGATGAGGCCATGAAGAGGTGAAATGAGGAGGTAGGAAATGCATGGGAGGCAAAGCTAAAAATGCCAGAGCTCAGGTAGAGAGGCACAGGTCTATCACTAGGCAACTGGAGCACAGGGAGGAAAAGAGAAGCTCAGCTGAGTAAACTGGGACAGAAGATGAGATTTGGTTCCCAGCAATTGTAACTTATTCCATCCTCCCATCCATCCTTCCTTCCATCCATCCATCCTTCCTTCCATCCATCCATTCATCCTTCCATCTCTTCCTTCACTCATTCATTTACTCAACTAATGATTATTGAGAGATTATTAGGTGGTATGCACTTTGTAGGGACATGGCCCTAACCTAGGATAGGACTAACCCTAATGGAGCTTATGTTCCGGTGGACTTGATTCTAATTGCAACTGGCTGTGGCATCAGAGCCCAAGCCCAAGCCCAAGCCAGGCCTGCACATGAGGACCCAGAAGCTGCAGCAGTAGAAATGGGGAGAGAACTGTATCAGGAGGTAGGCAGGGCCTAGCATGTGCTGTGTCAGGCCCTGGCCAAGCCCATGGGGCAGAAAAAAACAGATAAACAAGACCCGGATCTTCCCTCAAAGGGTTCCTACTCACAGGAGGAAGACAGACAAGGCTGAACTGAGAAAGGCTCTACTGAACATAGAGATGATTATAAGAATAGCAGAGAGATAGATTAAATTCTACTTGGGGGAACTGGATAAGGTGGTTTATAGCATTTTGTATTTATTTTGAAGTTGACACAAGATTTTCTTAAAGGTTATCTCAACGGGTCCATTTTGTAATAAAAGAAGGAACTTTGAGAAACTTGGAGAACAAGTGCTCTCCCTGAGTAAGAGGCTTAGGGTTTTGAACAGCATTAGAATGTGTTGGTGACTCCCTCACTTAGTAAGAAACAGAGAATAATTTATTAATTGCAAGATAATTTTAGATGATCAGCTGTCCCAGATTCTGTCAGAGACTTCTGGGACTTGACGTCCCAGTAACCCTGCCTTCCCAGAACCAGGAATGCTGACAATACCACTAGCCCCTCAGACCCCTGGCTGCAAAGAGGAAGGGAGGGTGAAGCACCCACTCATCAGCCACAACCTGGTGAGGGGGAGTCTGCCTCAGTCTTTCAGGTGCTGCTTCTCTTCAAAGACCCGCAGGGGAGAGGGAGAAGGCAGGAAAGGGAAGGAGGTTGATTTGCCAGGACATGTGGGTCTGGAACAGCTTCCCAAAAGTCGGGGCCCTGAGTAGACCTCAGGTGGTCCCAGCCTACTGGACATCAGGGAGCCCAAAGGCCAGAACAAGGAGGCCAGATGCAGGAAGCCTCAATAAGGGTACCCAGGTTGAAGCAAATACCCCTGGTAACCAGGCACGGGGGTAACCACAAAGATGCCAGTTAGACATTTTTCTCCATCAGTTTGCCATGAATTTCTTTCTTTAGTGTGTTGAACCATAGATTGTGAACACCCTCGTTTCACTGTATATTTATTGATTTGTGGACAGATTCTACTACGGCATAAGCAGAATGGCATGAATAAATTATGTTTCTCCTACCTTGCTATTCCCCTGCCCATGACAGGGGCGTTAAGGGCCTCAGATAATGGCATAGGGGGAAAATCTCAATGATGGGGCACAGAAAGCTGGCTGCCAAGAAAATGATGTGTCTGGCCAAGGTAGGTTAGAGGGTTCCAGCCCAAGAAAACTCTTAACTCCTCCTTCCCATGGGTGCCTGCCAGCCCCATAGTCTGCCAATCCTCTGTCCTATTTTTTTGTTTTTTCAAATTCTTGTCTCCCTGTACTAACTATATAGGTAATTTTCCTATTATTATTTTTCACACTCAAGAAATATTCCCCTCCTTAGATATTACCTCTTCTATTAGTTTAGCATGGCATCTTCTAACCCCAGGTAATACCCCCCACAAAATGTTATTATAGACATCGTCACAACACACTGTCATTATTGTTTGAATGTATCTTTAGGGTAGAACCCCTCAAGAGGGCTCTTATCTGCCTTTATACTCTTTGTTTCAGTGCTTTCTTTGTACAGAGCTTTGCACCTAGCAAGGATCCAACAATTTTTATTAATTGAATGGAAAAACATAGTTTACTAAATGCCAATGGACTAAAAAACTTTTTAAACTGTCAGTTGTATGAATGAAACCAGGGAGCAGTACCACACAAAGGCAAGGTGAGCTGAACAGTCCTGGGTGCAGCCAAGACTCAGAGGTGAGCATGACCACCTTCCTCCTATCAGTTTCAGCCAAAATGGGCACCACTTTGATGAAATACACCCCAAGAATGCAAATACATGTCCCACCACTGTGGCTTAGATGTCGTTTGTCCCCCCAAGTGTTTATGTGTTAGAAGCTTTGTCCCCAGCTTGATGATGTTAAGAGGTGGCAGGACTTTTAAGAGGCGGGGCCTAGAGGGAAGTAATTAGGTCATGAAGGGCACTGCCCTCAAAAGGAATTGATGTAGTTTTCCAGGGACTCTGGTTAGTTCTTCCAGGAGGATTATTATATACGTGAGCCTGACCTCTCTCTGAGCTCTGGTTTTCTATTTCAACCTGTGATCTCTCTTTCCCACATGCTCATGGTCTTCACCAGAGCTGATGTTATGGCTGTTTGGATCTTCAGCCTCCCAAACTACGAACTAAATAAACTGCTTTTCTTTGTAAAGTTCCAAGCCTCATATATTTTGTGATAGTAACAGAAAACGGACAAATACACTCATTTTGTGGCATAGTCCCAGGATTCTAAATTGTCTTCCTTACTGGAAGACCCCTCATTTTTACCTTCTCAGAATCTTCAAGGATACTTGCAGGGGAACACTGTGGGGACTGCATTTGTGAGAGAATTCCTTGTTTGCTACCAAAGTCCTGGCTCAAAGTGTGTTCCTTAGGGTGTCCAGGCCCTGGCTTTCTTCCATCCTTATTCCCAGTGCCATGGCTCAGTTTTATATTTGACTGTCTGCTTTTTGCTGTAGCACTTCATTAATTTCTTCTGGTCCTCATATCTCCCCAGTTTCTTCACTTAGGTCTTTTCTCTGATTGCCTTTTCTCCTTTAAAAGAAAAATCACTCTGGTCTCAACTTGAACTCACTTCTGAATTAAAATTTTAATTCACATTTGATTTTTAATTGCTACAAGGATTTGAAGAATGTCACTAGATTTTTCTACAAAAAGTCTATAGAATTGAAAATATCATTATTTATGACATTTCAAGTCTGTTTAGGGCAAATGGTCCAAATGCCATCCTCCCACCAACACAGTATCTCCTTACTAGTAATAATCTTCTTATAAACAGTTTCAGACATTCCTTTTGGAGCCAAATATAAACATGATCTAAATGTTGGGTGTAATCCTAGATTGAGAAGGAATCTGTGTGGAATTTGTTTTGAAGTAACTAATGTCTGTATCTGCTTAATTCAGAAGTCTCTGCCTTCCTGCAGCTAGTTGCTGGTATGAATTGCTATTGAGGTTTCTTCAGCTGCAATACAAAAACAACATTTAAGCTGATTCTGAATATTAACTGTGGTTTTTAAATAGTTCAGTAATTTAAAGGCTTAAACATGTAATGACTATATATAGTTTTCAGCAACTTTCTTGAAAAACTCGGATGCATTACACTGTCTGAGTTTTTGTCATGGTTCCATAAAGCCAGTAATTGTGTC